GCATTCTTGCACATCGAAAATAAGTGCATGCATGACTAAGAATACCCAGAAACAGCTGTTCGCTCAACGACTCGTTTCATCAACAACACCAATATTATTATTATTAATATTGTGTGTAAAATAAGTTTACTGCAGAATTACATATTGAAAATATCAAACGAATACAGCTTGTTCTGTGTAGTATTATAAACATACATACCGATACAGTACATATTTTTGGACTCGCTTACTCATTGTTCTACAGCTAAATTATTCCTGACTAATCTAACTTCACTTTCGGAGGGCAAGTGGTCACGTGAGTCAGCCGCGTGCGCGTGTGCAATCACTGAGTTTTCGGGACCGGTGACTAATTTCTCATTGGCATTACTGCACTCCAATACCTGAGTAGGGAAGAAGAGGAAAAATGACAACAGTTGACATGCATGAACATTAGTGCTTAAAGTAGTAGTATTAGTAGTGACGCAGTGATACTGGTAGTAATAGTAATCGTAATAATAGTAATGATAACTAAGAAACAAAAATGTCATCGTCAAATGATAATCGAAAGAACGAAAATAGAAGTTTTTCGATGACGCCAACTGCATGGACGATTCAAGTACAGTTATGCAGCCACAGTGCAGAAAGTGTTGGGAAGGGAAATTTATCCAACGACGATTTAAACCAATGCATACTTGTGAATATTTCCGCATTTTGTGTGTGTATTCGGCATCATTTTTGTGTGCGTGAGTGCGCATGCTTCACTTTAGCACTAACTGCTGACAGTTAACCATGGCACGGTAAAGAAACATGTTTGGTATAAGTTAAAATATACCTTTAAAGCGTGCAGAGAAGCTGAAATAGATTTCGCTTTTTTGTCCCTCTCTGTTTCTCCAGCTTTGTTAGATTAAGTGCTCAGTAATCAGTGGACACGTGTTACCTTCTTCAAATGGGTACGTCTAGACAAATACACAAAGAGTTCGGAAATACGCTCAACTCAGGTATACTGATCTGCATTTTCTCGCGAATACTCGGGATAATGAAATTGGGCGCGAGCTGTGCACTCTCTCATTACGCTGCGGGTTGTGATTGTGTGGCAGTACGACCGCCCGAAAATGTTTTCCGCTGAATGACTAACGTTTTCAGTGTCATACTCAGGACTGTGTTCACTTTTACGCCACACCACACGCAAAACATTTCTATCCTTTCCTATTGCTTCCGCTGTAGCCAAAATATGATTCCCAGTCCCTTTAGATAAACGACTACAAACTAATTAGAGGGGCTGAAAAGCCTCGGCCACATTAACCATGTGATCTGACTCCACTAGTAATGAAACGAGTGTACTGTTGATAAGCCTAATCAATCCGCTAATCAGCACTAACTGCTGACTATCACGCGTGGCACGGTGAAAAAACCCTTGATGATCCGAAGTTTTACCAGTGCACGAATTTTAAGACAGGGTTCAGTAATTTCATTCAAAGGTGAAACTGCACTTTGAGTATGTTCGTTTCAGTGCACGTTTCTAGTCGTCAGCACCCGAACACTATGCCCTGAAAGATGGTTACCCGAAACGGATACGTTCACAATTCCAGTGGAATGATTTCAATGATCACGTCATAAACAGTTCGTTGTACTCGATGGTAGAGACGTATGTAGTGAGGCTATAATTGTGCCACGTGTGTGCATATTCAAATAGCCTGCGATATTCCACAACGTCTTGGGAGCAGCTGTAGAATACCCCTGGAATTCCACGTTGTAGCGAGGTAACACGCCTACCAAAGGTTGAGCGTGAATGTGGAGTGTTTCATGTGATGGCAATCGTTATGTTACTTCAATGTAGCAACGAGCAGCAGGTCGGTTGGACACAAATAAAACAGTGGAAAACATGTTGTACGTAAACCAATGTACATATATCGCAGATGATTTCAGTATTATGCTCTTACTTATTTTGATCTCTGCGTGTGACTATAATGAGGCTTTCAGATGCCCACATGGTTATCTAAATACGAGTGGCATCGCAATAAACAATATATCTGTGAAAAATCTCTGTGATAGAGCCAGCACATTTCTTTGATTGTGAAAGCAAACAGTAGCTGATTTGTTCTTCTGTCCTTCGGATTCCTATGTAGTGGGAAGATTTCAAAAAACCGTTTTTTCTTATTTAAGCTATATATTACGATCAACTGTCCTTTGAAAGAATACAAGCTTCATGCACACTGAAAATGAAAATGTTACGGCAAATGCACCACCATCAGTGACGCTCTGTATGACTAGCGTCTTTAGCTTCCACGTCGATAACCATGGTCGTGCACACGGTCGGCACCAAAATGACATCAATAGATTGAAGGTGTCACCAACATTGTTTGCATTTTAAGGGTAGATCTTGCGGAGTTTTGGATGGACTGTGAAAACCGCTTTCCGGGAGATTTTGGTGTAACTGAAACTGACATTTGCGGTCCACTCCTGTATATAATTTCCCTGGGGGTACTGGAGCACATGAATCAACTATATGGTAAATATCGTCGTGTACAGAGCGATTAGAACCTAAGACATTAACTTGTTTATATGGTCGGGTTACCCGGGAAGTTGATAGCACGTTCTAAATCTACCATCCTCAGAGGCGTTAGTCAAATAGATTCGCGACGAATCACAACCCAAAAATTTTGATGTGCGGACTGAATTTTAAAGTGCATGCATTCTGGAATGAATTGTCGAATAACACATCATCTCTTTCCTCAGTTGCGTTCACATGCAAAAGGTGCTTCCCTCCATTTTATACGATGAATCGCCAACATTATTGTCACTAGAAGGACTGTCATATACTCAGGGATGTTTTAAAATCTATTTTCACTCATCATACTCAAAGCGACAGGTAAACAGCAATTCATTCCCTTTATACTCAAGAGCTTCCAAAGTCGTACTGATGGTAAACCCCGTTGCCATACACAGTCACACTGGAGCCAAAATTTTAGTTCGATCAATTCAAATATGATGCAAATGTTTGATATTTGATTTCTAGTCGTTTTGCGGATTGATCGGACAATGCGAACCGCCAACAGTGTCCTCCGCTGATGCCGTGTTTTTCTGTCTGTGAAACATGTTTACAAATTCTTAGATAATGAAGCAACTTCCTTCATTCCATTCCGCTTGCGCGATAACACGGCGTTTCAAGTAAATAAAATGTATCTCATCATTTCTGAGAATTGTACGTTGAAGCTTCAGCGTTCCTGTTAGATTGACAGAAGCAAATACGGTAATAGATGTAAGAATAATCTCAGATTTGACGTAAAAAGTCACTACAACTTCACAACTTTCGGTTATTGTTCAAGCAACTAATGTCTCATTGGAAATGACAACTGGGAATAAAGCCCTTTTATATCTGTACTCCACAAGCTCGTTCGACTGGCACGCTCTCTATCTGAATTTCTATTTCGGTTTCATTTGTTCTGCAGCTCCAACAGTTTGGCTTGGTTTCCATTTCGCCTATCCTCCCTCCATTTAGTCTCTTCTCATTCCCAAATGTGAATTTGTTGCTTCCAGTAAGGTTTTCCAGCTTTTCGACTCAAAACGATATCTCAACTCTGCCCAGATGTTCACTCTAATCAAGGTCAAGTGCATACCACAATATGGAAGATTATTAGCCGCATTTAGAGCGAGATTTTACATTTTCTGCGTTACTTTCCACTACGTTCACCACGTAAATTTATTATTGTTTCTCCAATCCGTGGCTTGATTTATTTTTCATCCAGTTTTCCATAATTATTCAGTTACTACCCCGCCCCAGTCCCTGTTCTGCTCCTATTACCAAGGGATTTTCCGTTTTTCATCGATCCGGTCCTCCAGTTTTGTTTATCCAAGAGCACTGAGGACCAACTTTAGGCAAAAACACAAAGCGCTTCACAACGCTGGTCATGCACTCTCGTTCGAATAGTCAAAATTGGGAAACATCATTCTTGATTCTATTATCTCTTCACGCTCAGAACATCTGTATCTTCAAATTTCTAACAGTCGTGTTTTGTTTTAGACGAAACTCGATGGACTCTGTTGTAAAGCATTTGTTTTGATTATGGCCTTTATGGCTCTACTATGCATTCTGTCTATCACAAAATAAAGATGTGGTGGAGCTCTGAAACACAAGGAACCCAAAACGATATGACCGCTCGGTTTAGTCAGTGTTTACTCCTACATCATCACCTTTGATAATTAGTAATTCCAATCTATAACGAAGTTCGTTGTTTCAGTGAGCTATGTACTCATTTGTTTTAGTTTAACCAAACTTTATTACACCTGGTATCTACCAGTCGGGTTATTTGGATGTGTCAGTACCGATCACTCAACTTTCACCAGCTTCAATCCCCAGTATCTATTACTCACTTACATGAGCTTCGTTGTTAATAATACTCAAATGCTTGAAAAAGTAGTTATCCGAAACCGATAAATCGGAGTTTCTTATTGAATTTAGATAGGGAGATATTGTGCGTGAGTGTCAGAATCGATATGCATTACAATTTGTGATCTAAGTTTATAATGCTGCTTAAAACAGGGTAATCTGGTTAACTGTTCCTTATATGTAATTTCCTAACAGATTTATTACACTTCGTAATAATAATACAAACCTCATTATGTGCATAAGCAGATGTATTTCCTTTGGCTCAGATAACTTAGATGTCTAAGAAAATATAAATTTGATGAAGGGATACAGAAACATTACTGGCAGGTTGTAATAAGTAAAATTTGACGACAGTTTTCAGGTAACCAAGAGCAGATTATCATTGAATTATGTTTGGACGGAAATATTCCGTACATGTTTTCAGGAAAAGCGTTCCTGCATTAAATAGAAGTAAAGGTATCTTTTCATTTCTGTCACATAAGCAATATGAGTTCAAGGTTTATCAGTGCTGGATAAAAGAACCCATCCGTCGATTCACGAAGACATATGTCAAAAGTGTCTTAAGTGTACCACAAAATCAACAAGGCAGCATCAGATCAGCTCTGTCGCTAATTTGTCGGACGAGGTATGAACTTTAGCGCGAACTTTCTTTTGGCGTCGAATCATAACCAACCTCCAAATAGTCTCGTTCAAGTGCTGCGAGATCTTCACGGGCGCTGCTGAATTCGTCCTCGGACATTCCCTCACCGACATACCAGTGTACAAAAGCTCGTTTATGATACATCAAATCGAATTTGTGATCCAAACGGGCCCACGATCGTCGAATGGCTGTTGAATTACTCAGCATACACACCGCTCGGTAGGTTTTGGCTAAATCCCCACCGGGAACCACAGTTGGCGGTTGATAGTTGATGCCTACCTTGAATCCGGTGGGGCACCAGTCCACAAATCGGATAGTTCGTTTCGTTTTTATTGAAGCAATTGATGAGTTAACATCATTTGGAGACACGTCACCACGGTAGAGCAAACAGCATGCCATATATTTGCCCCGACGAGGATCACATTGAACCATCTGATTGGCAGGTTCAAAACATGCGCTTGTCAACTGACCAACCGTCAACTGTTCGTGATAAGCTTTCTCTGCGGACAGTACAGGAGCATATGCGGTGAGGGGGAAGTGAATACGCGGATAGGGGACCAAATTTGTCTGAAACTCGGTCAGATCGACATTGATTGATCCTTCAAATCGAAGGGAAGCCGTAATAGCGCTCACCACATGGCAAATCAGACGATTTAAATTTGTGAATGTTGGTCGTTCCACGTCCAAATTTCGTCTGGAATGACAATGTATAATTGAAAACCGTCGAGAACGGTTGAGAAAACTATGTAAAATTTCCTCCTTGATTCGGTAAACCGAAGTATTTGAGAGAAAGTTGGTGGTTAAGGGTTTGAGCTGACAGAATTGATAAATTTTACAACACTCTGTTTAGCCATCACTGGCGATTGCATCTGCCACAGTGAAAAAATGACGATACATTTTATATTACCCTGAAAGAAAATATTTAAATGTTGCTTTATTTTACGTAAGTAAAATACAATAACTCTCTTTTAATCCGTCATTTTTGTCTAACGCTTATGAAATCAGTTTGTAGGAAAACTGCAAAGAACAGCTAGATACGGCCAGATGTATAGAAAAGCAAAAGTTGATCGGTGTTAATAACTGTCATACACCCACCTAGTGGTTCAAGGAGCAGGAGACTCATACTTTTTAACTAAAGCTATCCGGGGAATAAAATACATCAATCATAACGTTTCGGGTATCGAGTTTCTTCTGATTTAACTCTCCTAAACCTTGTCAAAACAACACATCTGTTTCACATGGCTTGGAGACAGGACTGGACTGAATCTTAAAAATATCAAAGCATTTGCTGTCCCTTTGCGATTGTCATCAGAAGAGCGCCCACCAGCACCAACACTCAATGGGAGAAGTCAGACGATGGTGGTGGGATTTGAACAGCCATCCCCGGGGTGATAATTTGATGTTACCAGCGGGCCACCACGGCCGAAAACATCAGCGATCGATAGTCAGAGTGGTCACTGCATAAGAACAAACATAACAAGCTGCCTAGTAATAGATTAAGATGATTGGACTCACGTACGCCTCGAACACTCCCACACAGAAGCCACATCACTTGTGCCATTCACCGGACGTTGTTCAAAGTGTGGTTTGGAATTTATAACACAGTAATTACGTGTGTCATGCAGAGGATATCGTCATATTATCTGACCTCATGTGTGGATTCACTTGCCGTAGAGTTTGTACCAAAGATATGCGTATATGCTAATCATGTCTTTTAGCGATGGACAGTTCCGTTCCATCCGTTCCATTTCTGAATGTAAAGGTGATTGTCAATAAACACAACCAAAATCTTACCTCCTAATATAATATCATTACAGAAACTCATAGTGCCATAGATTCGAGCCCGGTTGAGGGTGGAAAATAGGAAGTTTCACCCGGAAGGAATTGTTTTTCAACTCAATAAAAGAAATCGAGGAACAGAATCTCAGTTTCATGCTAGAATCTCAAAGTACGAATCAATCGTAGACAGTTTAGTGGGTGGGGAAGAGAAGATCATAAGATTGCTATCACATGAGAGTATGAGATACAGGGAAAAAGAGGTTATGCCAAGCCTGGTGAACAAGTTATACCCTCTTTCGCATTTTGGTTGGCGCGTCAGATGACCTTGGGTGAGAACGCAGAAAAAAGAATTAGAGTACTGCAAACTATTTGGTTAGGTTCTGCATTCCATTGAAGGTAGTTTAGGCAATTCTACTTCTGTGCGTACCGATGCATTATTTTTCACAAACAAGAATACAAACGACGTTTGTATGCACACAAGCTCGTGGGAACAGGTGGGACTGCATTTATTATTCCACTCTCTCTCTCTACATATATGTATATTATATATCTGTATAATGTCAGTTTTTTCAATCCTGAATGGAAAAGGTTTGCGGTCGCATCAGGGAGGCTCAACTGCTCGCACCAAGAGCACATTTCTACATGAGTGTGCCAAACACCTCGCAGCCAGCAGCTTTTCCGGTGCAAACAAATTGTTTGTTCTTTGTCCGTGAAGCCGTCTGTGAATTAGTTGAACAGCAATAAACATCAATATCAGTCGATCACTACACAGCTCAGTGTATTTATCAAGACAAAGAGGTGAACAACTTGACGTAACTAACGCTTCGTTTGTACCCAAAAAACCAAAACTATTCATCGAATTCTCCTGCGAAAAATTGATTCACTACTGCAAATTGAATTCGATTGGTGCATATTTTCGTATCGAAGTAACATACCATAGTTTGACGTTGTAGCAGATGTCATTCTCACTATCTCTAATTCTTTTAGTTTAAAATGTTTCATTTTATTTTTGTCAGCTGCTTTTGCTGGTCTCAAACGAAATAACTATACCGTTCTACCTGCGGTCGATTAAAATCAGTTCACTATCAAGTAAAACATGATTTCGCCTCTTGATCGATTTCACTGTTTCCAAAGAATTTTTCTATCAAGCCATGTTTAATTGCATCTTTCACGACACTACTTTTCTGGCCTTCATGACAGGATCCTGGTACATTTACATTTAATCCCACTGAAAGCACCAAAATAACACTCCCAGTAATATACCACATTTTGCTTATTCGCAGTAAGGAGACTTCTTGTTCGACGTGACGACGGTAACTGTTCGATACCAGAATTGATCGCATCGTTCCCAGCAACTGGTCACATAACTTCACTTATTCGGATTGGAACCATAGCTTTATGTCAATGTCACGATGGGGATTTTCAGTGAATTACGAAATCTCAAGGAAAACCTGGCTGTAAAGGAGCTGAATCGTTATTTGTGCTTTCAAACCAGACTTGCCGAAGCGAATGCAGCCATCAGTTTTCTGAATAGAATAGCATTAGTGACGATTGGCAACAGATTTGAAAGCGTGAAATCAGGATTTGAGTGTCAAATAAATGTGGGCCATCTTGCAAGTAAGCATGAGTGGTAATTTACATGCGGCAGTAAGCACGAGGAACTGACAATTTGATGTTTGCAGCAGGAGACAGTTTTGAAAGATGATACTAAGTCACGGTTCTGCAGGAATTAGAGGCTACGTTGTCATGATCACTTCAGTCAATGTAGTGGTTTACTCAGTATTCTGTGTAGATTCAAGATTCATATGTAATAGATGATGAGACAGAAAGGGGTCGTAGGGTCTTCCTTCTAGGTTGTGCTTGCAATAGTCTGTCTGTTCGTTAGTTTTTCTATCTAGCTACCTTAATTTCCAGCTTATATACAGAACATATTGATCAAAGCTACCAAAGCCGTTATTTGTGGCCGATCACTCAGCCATAAAAACGATTTACATAGTGGAATATTTGATTTGCTCACTTTATTCCTCTTTATCTTATAATCTGATTTTTTCTGACCTACGCGTTCACTTGTACCTTAGTAAGCCCGCAACCTAGCTGCTCAAGAGTCAATGGGAATACTGTTGATGTAGATGTTCATCGGATAGTCACATTAAGAGAATCGGTACAAACGGTCAAGAAATAGACGTCAACGTCACCATAATAAGCGTCGCACTGTCTGGAGGGTTGCGCTAAGGCGAATTTCCATCAACAGAATGACTATTCCGTCCATTTATTCAAGTAACATTCGCTCCTTTGCCGGAAAAATCGATGACTTCTAAAATCTATTGCATCAGAACACAGTGCAAAAGTGTGGGAGTCATTTTACTCCAGGAAAGTTGGTTACACCCAAATATTGAGGATCCTGTGATCGGATCGGACGGTTTTTATGTTTTCAGGAACAATCGGATTGTGAACTTCCGCAACAGAGGTGGCGGAGTGTTTACTTTCGTTAATCAAAGTGGGTGTAATAACACTCACTTACCGTTTAACTTCTTAACTGGAAAAATTAATTGTACTTTCTTTCGCTGCTAGCCTCCTTTTCTCAGCAGACTTTGTTTTATTTACTTCATGAAAATAAATTGCCCCTGATGCACTCACCCCTGACGTAACACTATTTGCGGTTGCTATAGTAACACAATTCGCCACTTGTAATGAGCAGTATTTGTGCAGCACCGTTAGCTACTCTAGATTTACTTACTCTATGACCAGTGTTGCCCTATTGAATCTATTTATATTCGAACCACTAGGTTTTCCTCATCTCTCCTCAAGCGACTCTTTCGGGCTAAAGAAACGGCCTACATGACCGGCAGGCGTAACAGTGTCAAAGAGCTCTCTGTGCTGATTAGAACTGAAGTAAGACGCCAGATTGGAATGTAGGTTGGGACTGTTTTGGGTAATAAAAGCTGTCCTGAGATGTGGACTACTCTGCGGAAACTCTGTGGCTCAGGTATCAGTTCTTTTCCCGACGTTGAGGCACTTAATCGCCAATTTGCTCCTGTACCTTCATCTAGCTCCTGCCAACCTCCTTTTCCTACCCATGAGACAATATACTGTGTTTCTCCGGACGAGGTTCTCTAAGTCTGGATGGAACTCAAGGCCAACAAAGCTCATGGTCCCGACTGATTAGTACCTCATTGGTTGAAAGGTTGCGCCTACCAGCTCGCAACACCTATTGCTGAATTGTTCAGTTTGTCATCCGGAACGACCCGCGATCGTTGTAGGTCAGCCCGGATCAGACCCATCTTAAAGAAAGGATCGTCAAAGTACTGTTCAATGGCCTGCACATATGTGATGCTGAAGGCCTTTGAAAATATTTTATTGCACCGCATGATACTACTTTTTAACTCCCATGATCCTTTACAATTTGCTTATAAACCCCATCTGTCCACACTTCATGCCTTGCCCATATTGTTCATTCCATTGCTTCCGTCTTAGACAAAGGTGCGGGTACCACTTGTTTAACTTTTCTTGATTATGTGAACGCCTTTGGTTCTTTTGACTGATGAGTGCTTATTGAACGTATTTTCTGAGAGTGATCTCACACCTGAAGTATTGAATGTACTAATCGACTACTTCTCTTGTAGGACCCAGTTTACTTCACTGAATGCGGTACAGTCTTCTTCTGTTAACAGTGAACCCGGTGTTTTCGAGGTGCAATTTTGTGCTCTTTCTTATTTTCTATGTATATACAAAATGTTCCTAATCCCAGCAACTTTATTGAATGCAAGTATGCTGATGATATTAGGATTGGTTGTCCATCCCTTATTTCAGACAGTTTTCGACCTCTCCAAGATATCCTTAATGAACTTCACGATTGATCTGAGACCCGATCTCTTGAAGTTCCATTTAGTCTCAAAAATGGTCCCCATTGTCTTTAACTAGTAATTGATCTCCTCGATCTTAGAGTGAACAAAAAAAGCATTCCCAAATTTGTCTGTCACCCTAACCCACTACCTGTTCTGATTTGCTCATATACTCAGCGTTTTCACAAAGTTCGAAAACTGTCTTTTTATGCTTACAGGCTCAGGAAACAGGGCCGTACCACAAAATCTTATCCTTAAGTTGCTAAATGTCTGCAGTCTTCCATTCTTCCACACTGGCTATACTGCTCCCCGATCTTTGTCTCTGAACCGAAAGTAAAAGATCACTTCACTTTTGACAGCCCTTTAACTTTTGTCCCACTACAGTGAAAATGATAGAGTTGCTTCAATTGATGTCTTTATTTCTAAGCATCTTGACGCATCTGATACCTTCGTTGACAGGACAACACGTGATCAAGGGCACTGTCTGCACCAAGATATCGCCAGAGCTCCGTGGAATCTCGAACTAGCTCCAAATGTCAACTCCTTCCTGCGCATACTTCCACATATAGAAACAGTGTAACTCTATACCTTGTTTTGTTATTGGTTAATCGTCAGAACATTCTCACCCACCTCATGGAACAAAACTTTTTTCTCTCATTTACTAAAGTGTGGAATTTCTTGTGTTGTCTTTTTTGTTTGCAATTGGTTTTATCTGTCCACTGTAAAATCATAAATTGCTGAAAATTCACCCCTTGGGTGTATAAAGCGTTTATTGACTTTACTTTACTTGAATGGCGATACTGAGGATGCAGCTTTCCTGACAAACCTTGAAGTTAACTTACCGACAAATATCGTAGATAGCTTCGTTGTCGAAGAGAAATGAACAATCACTGTGTTCCAGTGTGGCATGAGTCATCAAGACTGCATTGTATGGCTCCACAATCACCGGTGAGATACGTGGAGCTGGATATATGGAGAATTGCAGCTTCACCCGCTTCCCATAATCTCGGCTGAGACGTTGCATGACACTGCTGGCAAATCCGGATCCTGTACCGCCACCGAATGCTTGAAAAATAAGAAATCCTTGTAGGCCATCGCACTGCTCGGTCAATCGACGAGTCTGATCACTGACTAAAGGTAACATCTCACTGGTTTTTGTGTATCGTCCACGAGCAAAGTTACTCGCGGCATCCTCCTTTCCACTGATCAGCTGATTTGGATGAAACAGTTCCCGATACGCGCCGGTACGAATTTCATCTGATCTTGTGAGGGAGTAACGGGGTCGGATGAAGAATGTCCGTGAAAAGACCCATCAGAGCTTAGATGACTTTGATGTCTTAAGAAGAAAAATTCATCCAGAATGCATATCGGAACTGGTCGAGTAAGATGGAAAATCCCCCAAAATGATAGCTTATACTCAATGTATATTACATTATGGATAATAAATGAACATAGAGCAATGTGGAATGATAGTCCAGTCCGATCTCAGAGTTTGATGAACTTCAGACTCTGTTCCCTCCTTTGTATCGCTTTTCGATCAGAGTTTGATAAAATGATTATTTAGCGGTTTTCTCCAGCAGTTCCTTAATTATCTTGAAGGTCGTACTACCTCTGTCATCATCTCGATCCTTCCGCTACTCATCAAGCAAAAATGCATCAGCCTTTTTCATCACCATTTTCCCTCGTACACTCTCAATGCACCGATTTATTTTAGTCAGGAATTCTACCAAAAATGAAAACAGTTGCCCAGTTTGGGTCTTACCAGCGCCTCGTACAGGAATCAATAGCTCTCAGATGACAATTGTGCTCTCAAAATTGAGACTGTTTTGAGATGATCATCAAACGTACTCCTGCCTTTACTGCTGAACACATGCCATGTATAAATTCTGACACGTGAATCTGTCTAGCACAAACGAAATTCCACCTGGTTGTGTCTGTCTGTTTGTGTGTGTAGCCGCGTTTACCGTCAACTGAAATGGCTAGTTGTCCTGATCGTAGGTCACGTAACCAGGAGCACCTGCTCGGATTAAATCGGACAGGTTTGTGGCCAACAACCCAGTGGTCAAGAATCTCGGTTTCGGCTACGGAAAGACCAAATTGAGTTAATATGAGGATATTCTCCTCCCAAGAAATTTTCTTCAATCTATGCAGTTGATTCAACTAGGAACCATGAATAGTGATTGATAACCATTAAAAAGAAGCTGAGTACCACTGAGCCAAACCGATGAGGTGCCATGTTAAAAAAAACATTTCGGTAGAGTATATTTAGCTCAAACTACCTATACTGTCTTAGGGTGCTCACCGAACAACTACTCCCTGACAGTGCATTCCTAGTAGATTAGCCAATTTGGGCATGTAGTTCAATCCGCTGAGATAACCCACATGTATAAATAGTAAAGTGGTAGGCAGTTCTGCATTAACCGGGGCCACCCCAAGTCTCCGGATCACTGTTACTAAGTTGCTTTACATAAAATGAACATGGAAACAGGGAATCACGCACGCTTTCCCTCTCTCGCTCGCTCTGTCTACTCACAGTGAAAACACACACTCACCCTCCTCACCAAGTTTCACGGAGCTGCAATATTGATTTTGTTCACCAGTTTTTCTATTAATATTCTCCGTTCGTCCTTTTTCTGGCTGAAACACAAATCTCCCCCTCACCAGACACCATCCACCTTCCAGTATCCAACTACACTTTGCACTTCTCCTTTCTACCCAAAGCTAGTGCCTTTAACCAACAGTCAGTCGCCACTTCCATAATACCAAATCTTGACTTTTCTAGTTATGAATTTCAGCTCATGTGGCTGAAGCTCCGATTCCCCTCTTTTAAGTATTTTTTGTATCTTATCGTTCCACCCGTAGTGGTGACTCCACCGTCTTTGATTTTTCATCTTTGAACATTAAACAATTGTTTGCAACCGGCTCCAACTGTTGTATTACCATCTTGGGAAATTTTAACGTTTATATTCAGGATTGGTTGACATATTCATTTAATTTTTCTTCTTTGGGGAGCGAAGCCGAAAATTTCGCTTTGGTCCAACTAGTTGACCTCCCCTCACCAGCCCATGATCTAGCTGGCGATCGTGCCCATACCCTCAATCTAATTCTCAGTTCAACTACCTCTTTGTTGTCATGCATATGTGCTCTCCCTCCTCTTGGCTTATCAGATCGCCATATTGTTTCTTGTTCTATTAGATTTACCAGCCCTGAACCTCCCCCTCACCTCGAGACATTCTGGCGATGCAACTCAGCAAACTGGGATAATTTCCATGATTTCTCAGCTTCCTAACCCTAGAATTACTGTTGTTCATCTTCGAACATTTCCAAATCCGTTTCCAACTTCACCGACATTGTCCTTCAAGGTATGCAGGTTTTGATTTCGCAGTTCTCCGAACCCGACAAACCAAAATCCTCAGAGTCTTTTCACCATGGATGTGATCATCCTGTACGCCTGAAACTCCCAGCCTACTGCCATTGATG